GCGTGTGCACTGAATCAAACGTTTGCTTACACAGTACTTGGATTAGTAATGAAATATCTTCCGATGTTGTAAATGCTGATTACAAGTAACTGTTGCAATTTAGATGTATATATATATATATATATATATATATATATATATATATATATATATATATATATATGTATGTATATATATATATGTAAATATATATATACAATGCTTAGTCAGAATTTAAAAGACGATAAAAGCGTTTGGCTTATAAAACTATCTAGGTCTCTTCCAGGCATTTCTTCGAAGAAAGTCTACGGTCCCCAGAACGAAATAGAGTTTATATAGCAGCTATATACTTTCAACAATATCCTCCTTTACCCCCCCCCCCCCCCCTCTCCTGGAGATTTTAGTACCTCCCTCCCTCCCCCCCCCCTCCGAAAATGTCATATGCCGCCCCCTCCCCCTCACTTTCGGAGAAAAAAAGTCTGGAATAAACACTGATTGCATCGTTTTCTATTGAGCAAAGCAACACAGTAAAGACAAGCCTGCTACATAGTATGAACTTACAAATAGTGAAAAAACGATGTGGAATATATAATTCGCGCTTATTGTATTTCATTCTAGTGACGTCGTAATAAAAAAAAATTAAATTAGATGCACACAATAACAACATCATTGTCACCAGTGAAAAAAATGTAACAATTGCGTTATTTATAAACCACTGGTATACATGTTTTACATGTAAATTATCAGTTTATTTATACAATGAATAGACCCAGATCAAGTTGACATAAACCATCATGGATCAGTTCATGTACATGACGAATAGATTCCTATTACATTCAACCTAGGTCAATTTGACATAAACCAGCCTGGATCAGTTCATGGTCTGATAGATGGTATGCATAGCGCGATAACTCAAGCGAAACTTTTAAACATGAAGGCGTGGATTTTTAAGTTCTTGGAGATGACACTGATAGATTATGCTGTGAGACAAGAAACATTTCAACACTTACCTTTTTTAACAACACTATTTTTAACATAATTGTGAACACGCCGACTCATAACTTGTATGAACACAAGAACAAAATAACAGAAATCACTTATTTAAACAAAGAAGTATCGTTGAACAAAACAACAATATAAACTTGATTAAACTATTCACATTACTATTTTATGTATAACACGTGTTAATACACTATCTACACAAATACAACGGGATCCGGACAAAAGGCCGACATGGATAAAGGACCGACAAAACAAATGGCCTACAGGAAATAAGGCCTACAGCTAAAAGGCCGAAATCCAAAAGGCCGCCTATAAAAAGGCCGACTGGAAAAAAGGCCGACGAGGCAAAAGGCCGATAATACAACATTACTAATGCGATAACTACTAGAGGTTACTTTTCCTAATGTAATCAATACCAAAATCCCAGACTTATTCACAATGCCTTATTTTTCTTTCTTCCCAGCCCTCTCCTGCATTGTTTGAGTGACGAAGACATTCTGTGCCAGTCCCCAATGTCATGAGACATCTTCTCTTTTGAGTTCCTCGCCTTCAGCCTCTCGCCCCCTCCCCCTCCCCCCCCCCCCCACACACACACATACACACCGTCACTATACCCTGAATGATTGCCTTCTTTTAAGAAAAAAAAAGAAAGTATTATTGAAAACTGTTTATTAGAACTATTTCCTTTTTTTTTTCTTTTTTTTTTTCGCCTCAGACATGTAATTTACAGCTTCAGTTGTGTGTTCGCTTTAGTATGACAGTTTTCATCATCGGCTTGTGAGGACTGATACAGATTTACAATAGTAATATTTCTTTCTTACTTATTAGAACTATTTCCATACCAACAATTTAAAGATTTAACAAAAACGTTACAATAATAAAGCAAATCCAATATTCGAGTCCAAGATCTGTCGTTTGTACAGCGATCTAGTGTACAGAAAATTAGTCATGGTTTTATAAACACATGTGAACATCGTTATACTAGGAGCTAGATTTTTTATATCATATCGTCTGTTTTTAGAGGACAGTTAAGTAGATCTATACAAGTTATTTTACTGTCAGCATGTTATTTCTTATGGTTTGTAGCACGGGTACTGTCGAGTTGTTTCCCATCTAAGCTGCGTTACCTTCAAGATGCCACCAGTGACGTAGCGAGGTCGGGTGTCACCCGGTGCGGCACTTAATGGTGTCACCCCCAGAGGTGTAGCGACCCTCCCCGGGGACAAACTTTCAAATTGTAGATTTGCACCCCCCCCCCCCCCTCAAGTTTTCGACTTGCACCCCCCCCCCCTCAAACTTTCGATTTGCACCCCCCCCCTCAAGTTTTTCTATATATATTTTGCTATTTTTTGCCTTGGTGTCACCCCCCTAAATGGTGTCACCCGATGAGCTCCGCAACCCCCGCCCCCCCCCCCCTCGCTACGCCCCTGGGTGCCACCTCTTTTATTGATTTGTTTGCTTACCTTACGTACAACGTATAAATAACACCGTGACGTTAGTTTGATGACATCAGATCTGCAGACGTTAGAGCAACCTGTCACGCAACATTGCACGCAGACATGTAAGGAACACGTCTAAGATCAGTGCCGCAAAACATGCATGTCAGCAAATTATTTCTCGCTTGGTTGAATTCGGTTTCTAGTTCAGTAGAACGTCACCGTGTCCACCCAGCTCTGATGGGCACCTAACTCATGTTAGGGAAACAAAGGCGGCTGGGCTAAGTGCTGACTACACCTTCCCTTCATATGCTGAGGTTAATAAACATAGGAACTCTACTTCATCTGGCAAATGCAAAAGAGGATTCGTGTTTGAATATCAGTACGAGAACATTCATGTTAGTTGTGGGAGAGGAAGAGAGGGGGGGGGGCGACATAAATTAATTTTATAAGGACCTAAACTTCAAGTCTGTGATTTAAAAACATGCACCTATAAATGATCATAACGTGGAATTTTAACTGCTACATCATCTCATAATCGCTTCCGCTTTATGTCCAAGACACAAAGGGGGCGCCACAGAAAGCTCCCTCCACTTTGTCGGTCTCCAGCAGAGGCATAGAGAAGGGGGGGGGGGCGGGTACATATGTTCCCGAGCGCCAAATCTTTGGGCGCCAAAATGGGTTGGAAAATAAATTTGAAGCTCATTTTAGCTGTAGTTTGGAATCAGAAATATAAAAAAAATTTATGGGGGGCATATTGAAAGTTTGTCCCCTGGCGCCGGGAAGGGTCGCTACGCCTCTGATCTCCAGCAATATTCCTGGCAGTCCCCCATGACAGTCCTGCTTCTGTCGTGCGCTTCCACGTCTCTCTTGACCCCTCCCCCTGCTACACACATATCAGTGCTAACCTCTATGTAAATTACACATCGTGTCACAAACCCCTTTAACCGGTTTTTCAAATGTAATAAACCGATTTTTTTACGTCACGCGGTATATATTTTCTGCCGTTATAAAAATGTGGTTTCATGTTGCGATTGAGATCTTGTTGATTGTATGATGTTTCGTTGACACCTTTGAAGATTTATAACAGGTAGTTTTTATATCCATCACGTGTTTGCATTGGTTACATGGGTTTATAAGGAACGTACAGACCTCATTGTAATCGACACTTTGGTTTAGTCGGCTGTTTAAAAAAAAAATTATTAAAATTCAGGTGAGTTTTTGTTTAGTTCGATATGTTATTTATGTTGACGATACTTGAATATGTGTGCAAGGTCATTGCTTTAATGTATTGATTATGTTCCTTGCTTGAATGTTTGTGTCACTTAAAATAAATAGATGAGGTAGCATCAGAGGTGAGGGGGTGTTAGAAGAGGTGGGGATTTTTTAAGATGACTATGGGAGTGGGGAGGTAACAAAAGGAGATATCTTAGATCGGCGTGGTCGAGTCGATAAAGCTCATGGTTGCAAAACCGAAAAGTCTCGAGTTCGAACCCTCGGGCAGATGAGGCTCGTTAGCTAGGGACAGCCACTCTTCTTGGAGAGACAACTCCAAAAATAAAACAAACTGCTGCCTTGTAGCTGTTCTTGGTTGGAGAAAGGCTATGGAAGCAAATCCAAAACGAAAAGCAGGCTGAAATCGGAGTCAACATAACCAGTTGACACGTAAATCTTAATTGTGTTGGAAAGGGGTCTCGAGTTCGATCCCTTCCAACACTAAACAAGTAATTAAAAAGTCTAGTGACAATTTTAGTGCAATTTCCTTATGTTATCTAAAAATAGCTCTGTTGTAGCGTAAATCAAGAGCAGGGTTAGTAAAACCATTGGTTAGTTATTAAAACGTTTTTTATTTTAAAAAAATTCAGTATTTTACATGTTTTATTTACAATAGAGTTGCATGACTTAAAACCATTGCGCGCCTAGCTACTGAACGTGATGACGCAGCCATTGAACGTGATGACGCGTGTGGTGTGGTTGGATAAAAATGCCTACTAATTCGGTCCAAATTTTAATTAATTAAAAAAAAAATTGTGACCGAACGAAAGGTTATTTTGGAAAACTTTCTTCGGCAATATTGTTCTAATTTATGGCAGAAATCGATTGGTAAATCTTTCAAGTCGCTAAATGGTCTGGTTGCCGAGAAATGGGCCAAAAACTGCATTTTTTCGAGGTTTTTTGGCTTTTTCGGGAAATCCATGACAGAAACCCGGAATTTTTTTGGCCTATGTTCATCCTCGTAACTTGCTTAACATAATTGCTTTGGAACTAGTCTTCGATATTGCTTCGTTGAGGAGGAGATACGACTTAAAGCTGCGGACACACATCCTTCCATCCATCCATCCATTCATTCATTCATTCATACATCCAGAAATAACGGGTTAATAAACGCAATTCTCCAGAATGGAAATTGCGCTAAAAATTAAGAATAAAGAAGAAGAAGAAGAAGATGTAGAAATGGAGATGGGAGGTGAGAGGGGGAGGAAACATGGCAGGGGAGGTGAGCGGGTAGAAATAAGGTGGGAGGTTAGAGGGGGTGATGGGACCTGACTGAACGTCATTGTTGTTGTTGTAATGATAAAATATTATTTTCATTTATTTTTTGGAAGGAAATACACTCTACATCCGTTACAAATGGCGATGTCAAATATTCGGCTATTTATAGCAGCTCTGATGCTCGTGAATATGGGTAGTACACAAGGTTAGTATAATCAAATTCATAGACATATTTTTGCATATATATATATATATATATATTAATACTAATAGTTTCGCTGTCTCTCTATCTATCTATCTGTCTGACAAGAACGCTCTAGAGAAAACACAAGGAATTTAAAAACCTGCACAGTAATTCGAAAAACGAAATATGACGTCGACACATTTAGCGTAGAGTAGAACATAATCTCAAACCAGAGAGTGCACACAGTAATGTAATGACGTCATTGAAACATTGAAAAAAAGGAAATGTTGTCTAATCTAAATGGTTTGCGTGAAGAGTTTCTTGCATACAATTCTTCGGGTAGGGGCGAAGCCCCATCCCCGCGTAAGAACGTCTGAGGGGGGTGGGGGTGGGGGGGGGGGGGTTGAGTGGGGGGGTGGTTTTAATTTAGACTTTTTCCTCCCCGGAGAGGGGTGGGGGTACTTGAAATTTTCGGGGGCGGGGGTAGAATTATCGGGGAGGGGCGGACACTGGAAAAAGTATATAATTATATTTCGTTGAATGGGACGGTAGACATGTTTTTTTAGGGGGGGGGGGTTGTGGGTGGGGGGTGGGGGGAGGGGGGGTGTGTGGGGGGGATGGGGGGTGAGTGGGGGGGGGTGGTTTTAATTTAGACTTTTTCCTCCCCGGAGAGGGGTGGGGGGTACTTGAAATTTTCGGGGGCGGGGGTAGAATTTTCGGGGAGGGGGCGGACACTGGAAAAAGTATATAATTATATTTTGTTGAATGGGACGGTAGACATGCTTTTTTTTTGGGGGGGGGGGGGGGGGGGGGGTGGGGGGGGGGGGGTGGGGGGGGGGTGGTGTGTGTGTGTGGGGGGGGGGGTGGGGGTGAGTGGGGGGTGGTTTTAATTTAGACTTTTTCCTCCCCGGAGAGGGGTGAGGGTACTTGAAATTTTCGGGGGCGGGTGTAGAATTTTCGGGGAGGGGGCGGACACTGGAAAAAGTATATAATTATATTTCGTTGAATGGGACGGTAGACATGTTTTTTTTTGGGGGGGGGGGGGTGGGGGTGGGGGGTGGTGTGTGTGTGGGGTGGTGTGTGTGTGGGGTGGTGTGTGTAGGGGTGGGGGTGGGGGGGTGGTGTGTGGGGGGGTGGTGTGTGGGGGGGGGGTGGGGGTGGGGGGTGGGGGGTGGTGTGTGTGTGGGGTGGTGTGTGTAGGGGTGGGGGGTGGGGGGGTGGTGTGTGGGGGGTGGTGTGTGGGGGGGGGGGTGGGGGGTGGGGGGTGGGGGGTGGGGGGTGGTGTGTGTGTGGGGTGGTGTGTGTAGGGGTGGGGGTGGGGGGGGTGGTGTGTGGGGGGGTGGTGTGTGGGGGGGGGGGGGTGGGGGGTTGGGGTGGTGTGGGTGGGGGTGTGGGTGGGGGTGGGGGTGGTGTGTGTGGGGGGGTGGTTTTTGTTTAGAGAAAAGAGACAGCACTATCAACCTAGCGCCCGGTGTATCCTTCCTCAACGGGCCATTTTTCTCGTATATATATATTTATATATATATATATATATATATATATATATATATATATATATATATGATACTAGCCGTCCCGGCCAGGCCCTGCTCTGGCTTCTGTGAAAAACCTTTCTGTTAAAGACCATTACCTGTGTGTTTAGTAATCATCATAAACCCGGCATTGCCCACCCAAACCACAACCAACCAAAACCAAAACAACAAAACGCAAACATAACGCTAACACAATTACAAATACAAACGAAAACAAAAACTTAACAACAAACACAACCACACCCACAAACACCAATACAAACACAAAGAAAAAACAAACAAAAAAGCAAACGAAAACAAAAACCTAACAACAAACCCAACCACAAACACCAATACCAACAAAAAAAAATCAACGAAAAAAGCAAACGAAAACAAACCAAATCCAAACGCAAAACCAACCAAAAACACAAATACAAACCCAAACAAAAAAAACACAAACAAAAACGAAAAAAGAAAGAACAAAAACGAACCAAATTAAAACGCAACCACTAACGCAAACCCACCTAAACACAAAGAAAACACTAACGCGAACATAAACGCCCGGGGCGGAATCACCTGTTTTAGCTTAATGAACGACTATAGTACCCCAACTTATTCACAGTCTTTTGCACTCACTTAAACGAACGCGCCTGTTTCAATTTAATAAACAATTTTAATACTCCAAGCTTATCCGTAAAATACCTACAACATTTGCACTTGATCAATCCCCGCTAATTATGTAATTATTTTTTTTCCCAACACCAAAACAAAGTAATTAAAAAGTAAATTATTTTCACGGAATGCAATGGTTTTATAAAGGGAAGTAATTGTGTTTTTCCTAATTTATCAAAGGGAAGTAAGTGCTATAGGACTAAATAAAGACATAATTAGAATTTTTGTAAAAGATGATATTTTTTTAAAAACTTGTGTTGAATGAACATGCCGACAATTATTACTATAATTTGAAAAATGAAAATTATTTCCCAACACTTTCAATGGTAATTTCTTAGCTCATAAATTTAGACAAATGCGCACGCTAATTTTCTAACACTTAAATTCGTACAATTCCAACGACATACAAATGCATTACATACAGAACTGAGCTTTATATATTAGATTTTTGCGGTATTTTAAAAAGTATAATGGTACTTAAAAAAATTACTCCTAACGAAAAGTGAAAGGTTTGGGATTAGGATTAGATGTAGATATATGTTTAAGATTATGTTTATACTTAGGTGTGATGTTGGTTTAGACGTATTTTTAAATAAGATGTTGACTTAATTTATTGACTTCCATAGAATGGATTGGCTCGCGTGTAGTAGATGGACGGTGTTTTCTGTATGTTTATGCTTGGACGGAATGGGATCAGGCGTTGGTAAGTTGGGGTCGTCTCACTTATTGATGGGATCAGCGCTGGTAAGTTGGGGTCGTCTCACATATTGATGGGATCAGCGCGGGTAAGTTGGGGTCGTCTCACATATTGATGGAATCAGGCGCTGGTAAGTTGGGGTCGTGTCACATATTGATGGGATCAGCGCTGGTAAGTTGGGGTCGTCTCACTTATTGATGGGATCAGCGCTGGTAAGTTGGGGTCGTGTCACATATTGATGGGATCAGCGCTGGTAGGTTGGGGTCGTCTCACATATTGATGGGATCAGCGCTGGTAAGTTGGGGTCGTCTCACTTATTGATGGGATCAGGTGCTGGTAAACTGGGGTCGTGTCACATATTGATGGGATCAGCGCGGGTAAGTTGGGGTCGTCTCACAAGTTGATAGGATCAGCGCGGGTAAGTTGGGGTCGTCTCACATATTGATAGGATCAGCGCGGGTAAGTTGGGGTCGTGTCACATATTGATGTGATCAGCGCTGGTAAGTTGGGGTCGTCTCACATATTGATAGGATCAGCGCGGGTAAGTTGGGGTCGTCTCATATATTGATGGGATAATAAGCTGGTGGTTGGTTTAATGCTAGGGTCCAGGCTAGTTTTTGAAGGGTTAGCTGGTTGACGTCAGTGTATAGAATGAATACAATGAAGCAACTGTGCCTTTATTTTTGGGGTATGAAACGCGTTAAGTCTTGAGAGCTGTTACAGGTTTCGTTCATGAAATATGTGGATTTGTTACGTTTTTTTGGCAAAATTATGCGTTTGTTTCTGGTAGGATGTGTACTAGTAAAATTCTAAGGTGATACTCCGGTACTTTTTGATGAGACGTGGTATGTTGATCATTGGATAGGGCGCTGGTATGTTTAACATTAGATTGGGCGCTCATATGTTTAACATTGGATGGGGCGCTTGATTATTTATCATTGGATAGGGCGCTGGTATGTTTAACATTAGATGGGGCGCTGATATGTTTAACATTGGATGGGCGCTTGATTATTTATCACTGGATAGGGCGCTTGATTATTTATCATTGGATGGGGCGCTTGTGTGATTATCATTGGATGGGGCGCTTGTTTATTTATCATTGGATGGGGCGCAGGTATCTTTATGATTTTAACCCTTTATTTACGGAATTATGTTCTGAATGAAATTTTTTCTTAAACAATGTGTTATCATATTGCTTTTGGCACATTTAAAGCATATGTCGAAGGAAATTTTGTTTCATAAATTTTTAAGGGCCCAAACATGTATTGGTACTTATAAGTACCGTCAGGAATGTAGGACATTTTTTCCAAAAAATAAAAAATTTACAAAACAGGAAAAAACGATACAACTTATTAAATAATAACATGGCAATCATTATAACAATCATTTTTTGTAATTTCCACAATAAACACAGCACAAAAGTATATTTTGAGTACGATTTTTACTGGATTTTCTATCGGAACACATCTTAGACCTCAAACACAGCTAAAGGTGCCGACATGTCATGCTCCCTCATTCCTCATTCCTAAGACATTCTTGTCTGTTGTCTTTCTGGTGTGGCAACAGTTGCCGGACTGAACCTGCTTTTGCCTGAGGCTTCCAATAGACATTACAATGAGCCGCATAAACAAATATTTTGAAAACGAAATCCTAGTCATTAGTACACTACTACTAGTAATACTAGTATAATTGTAGCCTACTAGAAAGTTATGACTAGTCTACACTACAGTGTAAAGTTCATAAATAGAAGTGAGCTCAATGTGTTTTGAATAGCGTAGTGGCCTACTGTTTTGTGTTTACTGATTCAAAATTACAAAACGATCTATGCTACATGCAGATGTATGGACTATTACTAGTCTACATGTATACATTACGTACACGCCAGCTATTGTATGCTAGACAGTTTTTTGCAACAAATATAACTTACAAATCTTACTTCTAGAACTAGACTTTGGTATATAAATAACGTATACTAAACCTAGAAACGAGCCTGCAACTGCCACCTCTATTCTTGTTATTCTTATACTACTAGAAATCTGCAATTAATTACAATATTTCTGAAGAAAACCCTATGCTAACCTTCTTATAAATGCATAAATATATATTTTTAAGTACATTTCGATAATTAATTATCAAAATAATATTTATGGCACTCCACATCGAAAATCAGCAATTTCCAAGAAATCCTAAAAAAATGTCCGTGTGCCCTGACGGTACTTATAAGTCCACTTGTAAACATCGATCTATTACAAAGACAATTTGATAAAAATTGTATAACTATAAGTTAGATGCATTTGCTTGACTATTGAAGATGCCAATAAAAAATATTCGGTGTTGAAAACGTGAAGAATAAGGTAAAACAAAGGGAAATCAGGAACACATGTGAGATATGCACAGAACAATTGTGAACTACCGATACAGGTAGAGATTGAAAGTGGCGCCACACCAGAAATTTTCAAAAAACATTGATCCCTCCACCTACCTGTGACTCAGTGGAGATCATACTATCAATTACATCAATAATTTTTAAAATTCGTTTTAAATTAAAAATAATACAGGCGCTTAATTAAAGTGGTACTTATAAGTACCGTCAGTAGATAAAGGGTTAAAAGATGCTGATGAGATTTTAATGAGCCCGTACATTTCTGTGATGGTGATGATTGTATCGAATATTTTAATCATTAAAATGTCTTATCCATCAAAGGCGGAATGCGGCAAAATTGGGGGAACACTGGCTACAATAATATCACGTGACCAGCTCAACAAAATCGTCTCAGCATTGGCCATTAATCGTAAGTCAATACGTTTATTTTTAAAATGTTCGTTTATTTTAAAAATATTTGTTTATATTTAAAATATTTATTTATTTTAAAATATAAATACATGCAACCAGATATTCTTGAAAGCGTTTCCTCCGATTTTATGTTTAGACCAAATAAAACACCCGTTACCTTCAAGATGAATGTATCCTTAGACAAGTGAAAAGATATTATCCAATTTTAAACTCACAAACAAATATTTCAAAACTCCATTTATTGTTTTGATAGTTAATGTTAAGATTAGCCTACTATGTGTATTTTTCCGCTTCGATATATGAAAAGTAGTCGATAGAAAAGGTTAATTAAAAAAATTAACTAGATTAGCAATATACATTTGATTGCAAACTATCAAGTTTTTTTTCGAAACCAATAGAAAATATCGAGTGGCATCGCGTGGTCAATCGGTAGAGCACATGATTGACATCTGGAAAAATTGGTTCTAGTCCATATGGCGTCATTGAATCCAGCTATTGCTAGGTTGTCTTGGGCGTCTCTAGGTAGCTGGTCACGTTGCACGCCACACTGTCTATTCAGGTTTTACTGAACTTCTAATAGGATTGGATAAATAAGCATTAACTAACTAGGTCATGACCCTGTTAATTAAACTAATGTATCTAACGACTTTCCCCTTGTGCATTTAAATACAACGGTGATCGTCAGAAATTATGGTTAAGCAACACAATATATAATTCTAACAAAAAGATTCAAAACATCAAACATAAGCCAACTACAAAAGTACTAATTTTAAGGGTGTATAGATTTTAAACGTACTCTATTTCTACAAAAAAGTAACGACATAGTTGATTCTTGTTCATAATTATGTAAGTATTTTCTTACATTTTGCTAACATGTGTTACATTTTGCTAACTTCTGTTCCATTTTGCTAACTGTTGTTACTTTTTGGCTAACTTTTATTACATTTTGAATTGGACAACAACAGCCGAAGACTTTGTCTGGATCGGTGCCAACGATAAAGTCACAGAAGGAACTTTCGTGTGGACGGAGACGAACCAACAGGCCCCTGACATACCACGCGACTTATGGGACCAACACTACCCCGCAGACAGGGACGGAACAAACGACTGTGTTTACTTTCGGCATGGGGTAATTGTGAACGATTATTGTGAGAACCCGTCATCATACCTGTGCATGGAGCCTAGTGAGTATATTCCCTGTGCTTAAGTTAAAACATTCGTTTCTCAGTTAGTGATAGATTGTATACATTAACAACTGAAGATACTGTACACTATTCGGATAGTTTCAATGGGCGGTAGCCAGCTATAATTGTGGTATATATCAATGATGTGATATTTGAACGGGGTCGGCGTGGTTGAGCCGGTTAAGCTCTTGGTTGCTACACCAATTCAAGTTTGAACCCCCGGGCAGATGAGGCTCGATTGCTGGGGACAGCAACTCTTCTAGGAGAGACAACTCCAAAATCAAACAACTGATGCCTTGTAGTTTGTTCTCGGTTGGACAAAGGCTGTGGAAGCAAATCCAAAAAGAAAAGCTGCTGAAATCGGAGTCAATGGCCTATAAGGTGACAGGCAATACTTAATTGTGTTGAAGGGAATACCTTTTATTATTACAATTAAGAACGAAGAAGAAGAACAAAGATATTTTAAGATAGCGAATGGCATATATATTCATCAAAACTAGTGTAACACATGCAATAAGTAGCAATTAAATGGTTTTAAAATTACAACCAAAATTAAACACCAGGTACTATTGTAGTATAGGTCATAGATTATATTTTTATTTTTCAGATTTTACAACTACAAAGTGCCCACCTTCTACACCTTCATCAGAGACTACCTCCATATCTGCTACAACTATACCAACTACAACCACACTACCTACAACCACATCAACAACAACCACACTGCCTACAAGCACACTACCCACAACCATACCAACTACAACCAGACTACCTACAACCACATCAACAACAACCACACTGCCTACAAGCACACTACCCACAACCATACCAACTACAACCACACTACCTACAACCACATCAACAACAACCACACTGCCTACAAGCACACTACCCACAACCATACCAACTACAACCACACTACCTACAAGCACACTACCCACAACCATACCAACTACAACCACACTACCCACAACCACACCGACTACAACCACACTACCTACAACCATACCAACAACAAGCACACTGCCTACAAGCACACTACCCACAACCATACAAACTACAACCACACTACCTACAACCACACCGACTACTATCACGCCATCCACAACTAGACCGTCTACAACCATAGAGACAAAAACAACACAAACTGAAACCACACCAGTTACAACCACAGCAACTACAACCACACTGAGTATAACAACACCAACTACAAACATACTGACTTCATCCACAATGTTTACAACAAAACGGCCACAAACACACAGGCATTCATCACCGTGCCAACAGCGACGAAAAAAATCTTCCCACAAGTCAGTGCACTCACACCATCGCCAACAACGCCGGCTACAACCACACATTTCACAACCACAACATCAACAATTATTTCGTTCAAATACACTACGTCAACAACCACGTAGGTCGCAACCACACTTGCCACAATCACGACGTCACATGAATTATAACTAGGCTGACCAGTGCTGAAGTTCTCTCGACTATTTCTACCGTCGCTTATCTCCCATCTACCAACCAACAAGATCCTTGTATTAGGCCAACTTGCGATTTATTAAAGTAGAGCTTACATTTGATATTGTGTTTTTACGACTCAAGTTTGTGTTTAGGCGCTTGTATGTTGTTCCTTATTACTTAGATGTAACGTTTAATCTCTCCTTTTAACTGTGTTTAGTCATTATTTTTAGTACTATATTCCAATTATATCATGTTGGTACTTGTGAAAGAAAACGCATTGATTTAATACATACATTATATATATATATATATATATATATATATATATATATATATATATATATATAAATATACATGTATGTGTGAAATATACAATTGCCCCATTGCCATTATCGTTTCTATATTCATAGAGAAATATTCGTGCTTAAGTTTGAAAATACAAAGAAACATGAAATTTCTAATAAAATATAGCAAGACTATCAATTTAATATTGTTATCGGGATGTTATGTATGGTTGTTTTGTTTACAAAAATAAAAATATTAACCAATACCTCACTACATTTATCACTGTCTTAACACTTGACCACAACTTTAACACATTGACCACTACCTTAACACATTGACCACTATCTTAATACAATTATCACTATATTGACACTTAAACACTACCTTAACACATTGACCACTACCCCAACACATTGAACACCATCTAAACATATTTACCACTACCCTAACACATTGACCACTACCTTAACACAATGACAACTGTATTTGATGATTTTTTTTCTTAATTTAAAATGCAATCGTATTACACATCGCTACATCAATGTTCCAATTTAGAATTGCCCAATGACAATAAACGTTTACAAATAGGCCTACTAATTCAGAAAAAAACCACATCCCATAACTAATTCGGTGTGAATGTTTACTTTAAACAAAACGCGCCAATCAAAAATGTCTTGTCCTCAGCTGTTTATATACTTCTCAGCTTATACATTCGTAAATTAAAAATTAATCCCGTTAAGCCCAGCCAGACGATTAAACCCAAGATAAACACACAGTGTTAAGTTAACCTCAGTTGAGATTCCCGGATAAGACGTCTGGCTGTAAGATGGCCTCCGACAAGAAATGGGAGAATACAAAAGGGTTCCTAAATCTGAAACCTCTCGGCTTAAATGATATCATCTTAATTAACATCGACAGCTGAATGTGTGGCAGTGGGGAGTTAAGTTTATGACAAGAGTTAAGTTTATGACAAGAGTTAAGTTTATGACAAGAGTTAAGTTTATGACAAGAGTTAAGTTTATGACAAGAGTTAAGTTTATGACAAGAGTTTGCTATACGATAAGTGTTTATTATGAGGCGGGGAGTTAGTAAATAATACGTTTTTAACAGTAAGTGGAAGATTAATATAAAGCTTAAGCTACTTCGGGGTGGACCGGAGTTTACGGATGGAGCTTAGGATTGGTCAGGTAAGGTAGGTTTTTTTGTATCCTAGTTAGGTAGAATAATATGCTATGGTTATAGGTTTATAAAGTTCTGAATCTTGTATACGGCTGGAGCTACTTTTATATAACTGTACAAAGAATGTATTATAGCGAATGAGTTTCAGCTATGGTGGGGGCTTAAATAAAGCAGTCAGCTGAACATACAACGATATCTAAATTTTGTAATGGCGGATAACTTGAGAACAGACCTTGAGCAATGTAGATAATCGATTACTCAACCAAAACATAGAGGACTACCAGAGTTTTGATCACGTGATCTATTTACACGTCTATTTTTATTTTGTCAGGGGCCGTAACTGGAAAATCCTTCTGACGGGATGTAATTTCAGACGAACCCTGTTATGAATCCGTAAACGTGACGTCAGTCTAGCTGCCTTTTGTGACCGAATTTATTTAACTTGATCGATTAGGGACGGTCCCTTTCATATGCAAATGCCAAGAAATACATGTAATCTACTTCAAATATCCAGTGTATCGTTAGATCTAAAGATGAGCTTTACTGATAGTCCGACGACTCGAAATATTATACAACGATGATTTAAAAAGTTATTCTAGTTTATTTCTGCTCATGAATGCTACCATTAAGCTGATATAATGATAAGCTTCATTGGCCTATGGAGGAATATGAGAAAATATGAATATGTTAATATACATTGGAAGCCTCTATATGTCCCGAGCTCAGAATCGAAAAGATTATGTTCAATATACATAGTAGTCATAGTATAGGCATTAATCGCTTCTTCTATTCCGAGATGTTACATTGGTTTTTTTTTTTAGAGTTTTTGTGATTGTGATAGATATTCGAATGTCGTTGCTTTAATAATTGTGTAAAAAATGTATGTTGAAGTATGGTGTTGTAGAAATGTATAACCATGCTGAAAAATTCATTTAGTGTTTATGGCAAATTGATTTGTTAAGCATTCGTTTATAATTGGATTTTAGTTTGTCAACCGAGACCATAATTCATATGAATTTGCTACGAATGGCAGTTAAAGTATATTAGTGTACGGCATTTTTCGTGAAATAAGGTATGCCGGATATTGAAAACAAAAGGAATTTAATCTGGTATAGCTTGGCCTAAACTATGGTGCAAACGGTAAAGTAGATTGTATTGTTATTGTTACTACATAGCAAGACTGGTAAAGTAGCTATGATTGTTATTAACACTAATAAGACTAGTAAAGTAAGTTGTATCGTTATCGTTACTACTTAGGTGTTACAAGTCCAGCTGTCTACCTACCGCTAGGCCACTCCGTCCCCATATATATATATATATATATATATATATATATATATATATATATATATATATATATATATATATATATATATATATAATTTAAAATAGCTAAGTTTTTCATTATTAAAAACCATGTATATGATAATTATTTTATTTAAACTTGGACAAATCAGAAAATACAAAAATAACAATTTTTAATATGCAAAAGTAAGAATTTTTAATATACAAATATAAGAATTTTTAATATACTATTAGTGTCTTTATTAGTGACCAAAATAAGTCAATTCAATTTCTATTGCTGTTTAATTTCTCTTTATTTCTCACGCGTTTTAGGAGCATTGAAATAGGTTGCTTTCAACAAGCGTGAAGAATAGGCTCCAATTTTTAATGGGGTTTTGGGTCAAGTAGAATCTATCTAAAAAATTGCGTTCTAAGTTTTAAATTGCAACAACATGACCGATAAAGCATGTCATTGATTAGTCTAATTACTTAATTATACTTGGGAGCTTCTTAATTTAGGCGTGTTTCAAATTTCAAAATCCGTAAAATATAGGTTGTGTTTAAGAAAGGCTAAATATTTAATGCATGTATCGTTACGTGTAGTGTTATGTGTCTGTGAATGTCCGTATATATATATATATATATATATATATATATATATATATATATATATATATATATATATATGATTGTGTGTCTCTGTGTGTGTATGTGTTTAATCGGATCACAATATTATTAATTTTATATATATTATATATATATATATATATAAAATATAAAATTAATAATAAAAATATATATTATATTTTTTATATATTATTATTATTATATATAATAATGCCCCTCATTTTATAATAATTCAATTTTGTACTCTGCTTTTTCAAACGTAATGTGTTTATATACAAGGCTATATATTGTAAAATGAAACAAACTGGATTTTTGTGATCTATCTTCACCGTCATTTTACAGAACAATATTTTTACTTACCTTGATCAATACACATGAGCGATTTAAGATATTCTGAGAGGGATACGTTCACTTTTAAGTTATTTGTCTACTGTAACTGTTAATTAAAATTACGCAATCAACACTGGTACATTAATCCAGTTTTAAAGCAGTCTAATAATAAAACGAAACCATTTTCTTTTAGCATCGGACCAAAATCTTCTCAGAAAAAGATATCGGAAAATGGCACTTGGAATTATTATACTAATTAAAGTGGTTATTCTGATAATCCACGTATGTGATGGACAAGGTAGGTAATGATATAACAAAGTATATCCCACAAATATGGAAACAAATTGTCATAAATAATACTGAAATATAAAATGACAGGCGGCTGGGTAAAAACAAGACCAATATATATAGGCATATATATATATATATATATATATATATATATATATATATATATATATATATATATATATATATATATATATATATATATATATATATTCTTCTAAAAATAAAGTATAATAATTTCTTCACTTTAAGACAGTTGTATCGCCTACAGTTCTATCAATTCCACAACAACGACAATTTCAGTGTCCACTCCATCTGTAAGTAGCTTTTTTTCAGTATTATAGTATTTGATTAGGATTAGGTAAATAGATTTCAAATGAATGGGTTTAAGAGAAAAAATATGTATTAAAATTAAAACATACACGTGTTTTGCACAAAACATAATAAAGTATTTAACTAGCTTTGCTAGGATGCTAGGATAACACAATCGAACTATATACTACTGTAGCACTATTCCTAATTTAGAAACTACTACCTAAAAAACCATGTCAAATTAATGCACACTGACACATAATAAATTTCCTTCTGAATAAAATAAAATAAAATAAAGTAAATACAATTGAAAATATTCGAAAAAAATGTGCACTTTGGTAGTGGAAAACATGGAACTACTGCTGGGGGCTGGTAACATCAGTTGTGGAGCTGGGCCTAGTACCCAAGCAGCTGTCAGCTGTCTGTATACACTCAACCCCACCAATTCTTAGTGTTTTTATCTTGTTTAAAGTTGTTTTACAGTATAATATTTTTATGAATTAATATAATAATTATGAAAATATAATATTTAATTATTACGGAAATAGATAGCCGCATCCTGACATTGAAATAGCCGCATGCGGCTCGCGAGCCGCAGGTTGCCGACCTCTGCGTAAAAGTATGATCTTTTACAAGGCGAACCAATTTTTTTTTTTTTTTAAATTCTCAGGTTTAATAAAACACTTAAATAATTATATCTGATAGGAACGACACATGCTATGTCCATTATGTACATCACAATATAAACATTTTCTAAACAAGACCATTTTCATGTACTAAGCTAATATCCTAATTGAATCATTGAACTTAATT